GGAATCGGCTGGCCTATCTTTCTTCCAGACCAAGTCAGGGGTAAATTATGTGATCTGATGTCCTGCCTTCAGTACCATGATCAGCAAATTTCATTTGGAACACAACTGAACTTTGAAATGGTCCAATGCTCCTCAGTGTATCCATCTGCAAAAAGCCGCCCTGACTCAGTGCTTGATGCTGAGATGTACCAGGTGAACCCACTCTCTTCTTAGTAACCTAATCTATTTTTGAGAAATTGACGCATGTACACTCAGTGTTGTCGTAAAGATGCTGGCTCTCTGTCCTGCTTGGAAATGCACAGTCCTCATCTTCTAAGGTAGAGAAACAAAGATGATGGGACATACATCCATGGTTAGTATTGAGTTCTTGAGCCTATCAGCCCTTCTTCGGCATCAAAGAACTCTCCAACTCAAACACAAATAAGGAAGCTCCGGGCTATGGAGCGCTTGTGTGGCAAACTGGGTGTCAGTCACTGCTAATGGACCATGGCCAATGGGAACCTTTCTGCCTCTTTTATCTTTACTTTGGAGGTTTGTTTTTTTTTTAATGAAAAAGTGCTGGGGGAAGGGGGATGGTGGTGGAAAGAACTGGATGATAATTTTCTTTCTTTGCCTCTTATTTGCATCACCTGGCAAGTTCTCCTTTAATAACAAGAATGGTGGGCATGAGTGAGTGGCTACCTTGATGTCTGAGACAAACCCTCTTTGAGAATGCCAGACTTCCACGGGGGGAAATTGCAAATGGGTTCCCTCCCCCAGCACCCCCACCAAACAAGTCACCACCACTTAGCTGCACTTTTTCTCTTCTAAACCCAGACCGGTGAAAGCTGAAGATTTTCAAAGAAGAAGGGTGTGTCGCTGCAGCTGCTGCATCAAACAAAAGCAAACAGACTAAATTAATTTAGCCTTCAAAATCAGTCCCATTCTCTAATTCATAAAATACTTCAAACACCGCAAGAAATGTCATCTCCCAGATGATTGGGACTAATTCACTTTATCTCTTTTTTCCTCTTGCATCTGAATGCAAACTAAACCGCTTCACCAGTCAAAATAAACCGCTTGTTCCAAATGCTTCCGCCAGTTTTTAATAAGAATCTTCTCTGCTCTGTACACAAAACAAACTCAGTTTCTAACACACTTCAGGAGAGCTGCATGAAAAAAAAAAGAGGAACAATGTCCTCATTACAGTATGTTAAATTGCCAGCACTAGGCAATTAAAAGGTAGGGTCTGTAGGAATGCAGCAGAACAGAACAGTTAGCTTCATTGTCTTCTCATTAACAAGATGGTTATTTTACCTCTCCAGGTAGGAAGCTTAAGAAACAAAACATTCTTGGCTCCTAAGGCACTCCAGGAAAATAAGCAGGTGTTGACGGCTAGGACTTGTGGAAAGAACCGTTTATACCATAAATAAATTTGCACATCCTTGTGGTTGTAATAAATATAATTCCACGTCCATTCTATTGGACTAGATGGAGAAACCATTTAAAGAAACATCAGAGTCCTCCCAGAGCAAACGCTCTTGTCCTGCTGACGCTGTCACCGCTGACGCTGCTGAGTAATGCCTCCCCTTGGGACCCAGGAATTTGGAATTTTTCCTTCAGCGTGCTATGTAGTTGACGCCACAGACTTAGCTCTGGGAGGAACTGCGGAGACTCTTACTTGCTTTCTGCCTGGGCTCTTCAATGCCTGACTGTCGTTTAAAAAATGATGACCCAAATCTTTGCCATTTGCCAAGTGTGAGTACTTTGTGGGAGAGGAATGCGGTTCTCTTTGATTCTGGAATTCCTCCTGGTTTCCCTGTGTGGGTGGAAAAAGAGCCAAGAATATAAGTGATTCAGATTCTCTTATGTTCTAAAGAAACAAAATGAAACAATCTATCCTTATGCAGATTTTCACATTTGATGCTGATGAGTTTTTCTTTCACAAGATAGATACCTTCATCATTTTTCTTATGCTTTCACTGGAAAATATAACACATTCCCTTGTAAGGGAAACAGAGAGAAAAGTCCCTTTTAAAAGAATAGGCACAAGGGATGTATTTCTTCACCATAAAGACAGTATTTACAGTAAGATAAAAGTATTATTGCAGTTGCCTAAGGCTTGAAAGGTTTTCAGGACGAAAAGTCTCGAATGTTACTTTTTCAGTAAATTTCAGTAAATTTCTCAGGGACCTAATATTTATTTTAACCCCAGCCATAAATTTTCTTCCCATATGGTCTTCTACATTGACAATAGGTAGTGTGAGAGATTAATAAGGTCTTTATGCAATTCCAATGATATGCTGGTTTGCCTATCATTTAATGATTATCAATTAATCATTTAATACCCTTTAATGACCAAGTTGATTTTCAGAGTTTTGTTAGATAAAACCATACAGTGCTTTGTTAATTAAAACGTGATCTTGGGAAGCATGTAACTTCGATACAAAGTAAACTTTTATATAAAACAAAGCCTTAAATTAGCAGTTTTTGATGAAAGGCTTCCTAGAAATATCTTGTTTGGAGAGAAAAAGAAAACCGCTTTCAGTTACAGAGACCCAAACACCAAATACCTTGATAATCAGATGTTTTGATCCTTATTAAGACACATTAAGAGCATTACTAAGTTATAGCTGGACTGAATTTACACTTTTTTGGAAGAGAAACCAAGCCTGGGCATTAAACTTGTAAGAGCAATTATCATCTGCATATGGGTTTAATTGTAAAACAAATAGGGTTTTTATTTTTCATAATTGCCATCATCATGACCCAGTTTTTGTGTCAAGCCCCATGCTGAGTTAGAAGGATAACACATGGCTTCTAGCTCTTGTAGCCTTCTTCTTTTTTTTTTTTTTTTTAGACCAAGCCTTTGTCTCCCAGGCTGGAGTGCAATGGTGCGATATCGGCTCACTGCAACCTCTACCTCCTGGGTTCAAGCAATTTTCCTGCCTCAGCCTCCTGAGTAGCTGGGACTACAGGCATGTGCCACCATACCTGGCTAATTTTGTATTTTTAATAGAGACGGGGTTTCACCCTGTTGGCCAGGCTGGTCTCAAACTCCTGACCTCAAGTGATCCACCTGCCTTGGCCTTCCAAAGTGATGGGATTACAGGTGTGAGCCACTGTGCCTGGCCTCTCTTAGCCTTCTTAGACCCCCTTTCCTTCCCCCCTACCCCATGGCACTCATTTCTTCTCTTTGCCTAGTATTTCTTCTTTTAGTTTCCAGTGAGATCTACTAAAAACTGATTATTTGGAGGAATTAGCAAAGAAAGCTCTTAAAGACAGAAACAACTTTACTGAGGTCTAGGAGAGAGGTATCTTCAAGACCCATTACTGGCATCTAGTGTGGGTGTAGGGGGTGAAGAGAAATTTCCCTTCCCTTCTGAAGGTTCCAGTCTGCTGAAATGAATTGATGACAGACAGACTGAAACGAGAAAAGCATACAAATTTACTAACATGCATAAGCATGGGAGCCATGCAAACTATGAGACTCAAGGAAGGGTCAGATGGTTGAGGCCTAAATATATTCTTCTTAGGCGAGAGGGAAATGGAGGGTGTAGGCACATTCGAGGGGTAGTAAATAATTTTCAGGGAATTGGATGAGCCCAAATAATAGACAATGGCCTGAGACAAAGTTCTGAGCTCTGGGGGAGGTGGTGGTAAGGTGAGGGATAGAAATGCACTGTGAACAAAGGTTCACTTATTATGCAGATAAAAATCTCCTAATAATCTTTTGGAGTTACCCTCAGAAGAACAGAAGAGTTTCTGAACATTGTGACGGTGGTTAATCTTTCTTGATTCCTAGGAAGGGGGTTTTAAGACAATTCTATTTCTTTTGGAAGAAATTTTCCTCAATCAGATAAGGGAACTTCCAGAGTGAAGCCCTGAATGTGCTTGGCTTGTAGGGGCAGGGGTTGGGGAAAGAAACAATAGAAGGTTAGAAAAATTCTTAATTCGGCCGGGCGCGGTGGCTCACGCCTGTAATCCCAGCACTTTGGGAGGCCAAGGCGGGTGGATCACAAGGTCAGGAGATCAAGACCATCCTGGCCAACATAATGAAACCTCATCTCTACTAAAAATACAAAAAATTTAGCTGGGTGTGATGGTGCGTGCCTGTAATCTCACATACTTGGGAGGCTGAGGCAGGAGAATCGCTTGAAATAGGGAGTCAGAGTTTGCAGTGAGCTGAGATTGTGCCACTGCACTCCAGCCTGGTGACAGAGCAAGACTCTGTTTAAAAAAAAAAAAAAAAAAAAAAGCAGAAAAGAAAAAAAAGAAAAATTCTTGATTTTGAGGCAGCTTCTAAGGCTTTCCAATTTCCTTTAATTCGAAAACGCTCAGCATACCAGAGCACCATATTGTGGGGTATCATTTTCTGAGCCCCAACATTGGGATGGAGGATGGTCCTCTTTACTCTGACTACAACTCCATGCAGTGGGTAGAATATGCTGACAGCAGGGACAGTGGTTCCAGCTTCCCACAGATGTTTTAGTGTGTGTGTGTTTGGGTCACTGAGGACCACACAGCATCAGACGACCCTCTTGGCCTTGCTTCCATATTAGATTCTTTACAACCTGCTTTCTTCCAAAATGGATTTATAAAACACCCATAACAGGGTAGCAATCGAGAGAAGAAAGTTAGAAGTTAAGTCTAGAGGAGGGGTTGGCAAATGTTTTCTGTACAGGGCCAGAGAGTAGTTTCAGCTTTTTGGGCCATGTGGTTTCTGTTGCAACTGTCAACTCTGCTGTTGTGCCACAGGCAACGGAATAAGCATCTTCAACAGAACAATAAGGAGGCACCAGGCTGGGTTTGCCCTTTGTAGTTTTCTGACCCACAATCTAGCTTCAGAATATTAAGATTAAACTAAGGAAAATATATTTTCAGTGAACTGGATAACTGAAGGGTCTGTATCATCATTCAAAGGGGCCCAAATTTAGTTATGAGTTTCCTAAAGGTCAAAGCAAAGAGGAAAACCAGTCTTACTTCCGTGAGATGAACACACAACTGTTGCTCTGCAGAAGTCTTGGGGTTGTGGCTGTGATCATCTCTTAAAGGCCTTGAGAAAGGGCGTTATGGGGTATAAGGGACAAAGTTCACAGCGTTACATTTTCAGTATTGCTGCTATTAAGCAACTGTCTAAGTGAGTCAAGGGCACAATTTATTTTAGAAAAATATTTTAGCATATTTTAGAAAAACAAATTTGAGGACACAAGGCACTTCAGTCCTGTTGCTGCCGGTCTGGGCTTAAATTGACATCAAATGGAGACCTTTCAGCTGAGCAATGAGCTGCATGCTTGTCTTCCAGACAGTCTTTCATGATCTCCATGAATACGGAGTTGCTCCTCTCATGCCCAGCTGGTGTCGGGATTCCCTTGTAGCCACAAGGCCCTCATTCGATCAGGTGCAGTTATGTGCCTACTCATTCTTTCCTGTTTAGGAAGAACCAGGCTTAGGTCCCGATTCCTGCCCTCTCATAAAATATAAAAAGAAGTCAGATGACAGTGATTTTCATGTCTTGTTATTACCTCACTCCTTTGATTACTGGTGTTATAATGATTACAGTTTATTTAATGGTTTCTAGGTCCCAGGTAGTTGGCTAAGCCCTTTATGTGCATTATCTCTTAATTCTCACAACCCTATGGGAATACGCTGTATTATTCATTTCTTTTCAGATGAGAAAACTGAGACAGAGAGATTAATAGCTTGACTGGAATAACTCACATAGTATATGGATATGAACATATGCTTTATTTTTTTCAGAGATTGTTTCATAATTTTTATTTTCTTACAGTTTTTGAATTGGGATCCAACATTGCTGTTAGTTGACATCAACTGATTGGTCTCAAACCAATTAGTTCCCTTTTTCTATCTCTTCTATATTCTTTGCAATTTTTTGTTGTTGTTGAGAGAATATGGTTATTTGTCTTCTAGATGTATTTTCAGTCTTAGTTTTGCTGATTCAGTATTTACTAACATTTAACATTTCTTCTATCTCCTGTATTTGCTGTGAAGTGATATATCTGGATCATAGGGGCTTGATTAGATTTTAAATGAATTTTATTTGTATTTCTCTTATTGTAGGTAGAATTGAACATATTTTCAACTCTTTGACTTTTTTTTTTTTTTGAGACGGAGTCTCACTCTGTCACCCAAGCTGAAGAGCACTGGTGCAATCTCAGTTCGCTGCAACCTCCACCTCCCCAGCTCAGGTTATTCTTTTGCCTCAGCCTCCCATGTAGCTAGGACTATGGGTACATGCCACCGTGCCTGGCTAGATTTTGTATTTTTGGTAGAGATGGGGTTTTACCATCTTGCCCAGGCTGGTCTTGAACTCCTGACCTCAAGTGATCGGCTTGCCTCGGCCTTCCAAAGTGCTGGGATTGCAGGCGTGAACCAGCAAGCCCACCCTAACCTTTGGGCTCTTGACCAAGGCTCTTAGCCTCCACTTCTTTTAAGGGAGTTCTCATGGCTTCCTGGATTTCTGCCCTTGACCCGCCACTGCTGGCCTCCTGGTCTTTGTGATTTCCTGGATGCCAGCACTTGCTTGTCTGTTAATGGTTGCTTCTCGTCGTGGCTTTTCAGCTTCTGGATCTCTTAACCAGCCTTGGTTCTCATCAGGGAATTATGCTTAGATTCTCATCTCAATTACTTGGATCATGACCCTTTTGAGTAATCCTCTGGTCTGCACCTTCTGCCTCCATCACCCTTTCTTGGTTACACTTGTTACTACTGCTATCTCTACCCTGGTGTGAACAAAGGTCAAATTTTCTGTTCACATATGATTTCTACAATCTTTATAGCTGTGGTCTGAATCCAGTCTGCTAAAGGCCAAAAATAGGGGTAGAGGCATGTCAACTTCATGGGAATACATGTAAGATAACATGTATATTAACAGAACATCTTTCTTTCTTAATTCCTTCCTTTCCTCCCTCCTTCCTTCCTTGCTTCCTTCCTTCTTTCCTTCATCTCTCTCTCTCTCTTTTGTTAGTTCATTTGTTCATTTATTTTTTGAGACTGAATATCATTCTGTTGCCCAGGCTGGAGTGCACTGATGTTATCTTGGCTCACCACAACCTCCACCTCCCGGGTTCAAGTGATTCTCCTGCCTCAGCCTCCCAAGTAGCTGGGACTACAGGCACCCACCACCGCGCCCAGCTAATTTTTGTATTTTTAGTAGAGTTAGTGTTTCACTATGTTGGCCCTGCTGGTCTCGAAGTCCTGAGCTTGTGATCTGCCCTCCTTGGCCTCCCAAAGTGCTGGGATTACAGGCGTGAGCCATCGCGCCTGGCCCAGGACATCTTAATATGGCAATTCTCTTTAGACAGGATGTCAATGGAGACTTCATAATAATGTTGGTAGCATTTCACTGGCCTGGCCATGCCCCACAAATGGAGAATGTTAGTAATTTTCCGTGACTAGCTTTGAGCTACAAAGAATGCTATTAAATAAATCATTAAAGATAAAAAGATTCCTGAAATGGCAAGTATTTTATGTCTCTGGTGATGAAAACCAAATATGCTGTTCACATTGCGGACATGTATAACCTATTAGACTGTTTCAAGAACACAATAGGATGAAATCAGTGACTAAGAGAAAATAGAAAATAAAATCCATTCATTCATCCAGTCACAGATAGGCTGAGAACAAGCCAAGGTCATAGCAAGGAAGAGAATCTGAAGGCCAAGTCTAAAGAGGGGGAGAACCAGAGATGGAAGAATGAGCAGTGATGTAAAAGCCAGAAGGCCTGAGCCCTGCATGGAATGTGGCCTAGGAATGGGTCAGGGTGAGAAGTTCAAACTTAAGATCCTGGACAGCGGACGCACTAAACTCTCACATGATATGGGGTCCCGCATGGCTGTTTAGAACATAGGATCCAAGCATGGCATGGCAAATCAGCGGCCCCTGAATGGGATGATTCATGAGTCACAAGAGTTTGCTATAGTGATTGATGCCTTACTTGATTCTTACAGGCTCTGAAATCTCATTATAATAACGACTTTAGACACTTCCTGGAAATAGAACAGCTTATCTTGAAAAATGTCAGCGGAACCTGTGCACCCCGAAAATTGAGACAGGTCTCAGTTAATTTAGAAAGTGTATTTTGCCAAGGTTGAGGACATGCGCATGACACAGCCTCAGAAGTCCTGAAGACATGTCGCCAAGGTGGCTGCAGCGCAGTTGAGTTTTATATATTTTAGGGAGACACAAGGCATCAGTCAATATATGTAAGAAGCACTCTGGCTGATTTGGTCTGGAAAGGCAGGACAACTTGAAGCAAAGGCCGGAAGATGGGGAGGAGACTTCTAGGTCATCATAGGTGAGAGAGAAATGGTTGCATTCTTTTGAGTTTTTGATTATCCTTTCCAAGGGAGGCAATCAGATATGCATCTATCTCAGTGAGCAGAGGGGTGACTTTGAATAGAAGAGAAGGCACATTTGCCCTAAGCAGTTCCCAGCTTGACTTTTCCCTTTAGCTCAGTGATCTGGGGACCCCAAGATTTATTTTCTTTCACAAACATTACAAGCTGTACCAATGATCTTCTCGCTTTGGCCCACTTTTGTAACCATGAATCTGTTCTTCCAAAAGCAGAAAATTAAAATACTGCTTTCCACAATGCAAACTTAAACTTTAAACAATGTCCTAGTGACCCAGTTGGGATGGTGCTTTTCTTATTTTCTTATTTTTTAGAGGTGAGGTTTTGCTCTGTCGCTCAGGATGGAGTGCAGTGGCACCACGATAGCTCTGCAGCCTTGAACAATCCTCCTGCCTCAGTCTTCCAAGCAGCTGGGATGACAGGCACAAACCGATATACCCTGTGGATGGTGCTTTTTAATACAAAATGTGCAACCAGTTCACAAAAACAGGATTTACAAAATCTTGGTCTGGTGTGAGATTTGTTAATTTTGATGCAAAACTCAGGAGACCAGTTGGATGGAATGTGATGGATGTTCGTCTCTTTATGAGGCCAGCTTTGAGGAAGCTGTGCCAGAGAGTGAGGAAAGCTCCCTAACCCCTTAGGGGAACGCTTCTTCAGAGCAGAACCAAATTTGGCAAGTCTCTGAGGTCTGGAGTGAAATACAATAAAATTTGCATTTATATAGCACTCCTTATGCTCTTCCTTTATATGTGCTATCCATATTAAATAAAAACACAATTAAGAGTTAGTTCTAAAATACCAGGTCAAACATATCAAACAAGATCAGGAATGGCAATTAGTGCTAGAATACCAGAACAAACAGACGGCTATTGAGTTTGGATTTAAGAAGGGAAATAGGATGTGCTTGCTGCATATCAATGGTGGAGGAATTCTGGAGCTTGGGCTGAACTGGGCTGGGAGGGTGGGTTCCTGAAAGAGCCAAGTTGGGACAGTGACCAGGCCTGGGCATGGTGATGATTAGAAAGAACAAAAACTCAGTGCAGCTAAAATTAGTGGGCACACACCATGTGCCAGGGAAGTATCATCAGACTTGAATTCTGTCTTCAAGCCACTTTTTTTTTTTTTTTTCGGAGATCGAACCTTGCTGTGTCACCCAGGCTGGAGTGCAGTGGTGCAATCTCAGCTCACTGCAACCTCAGCCTCTTGGGTTCTAGAGATTCTCCCGCCTCAGCCTCCTGAGTAGCTGGGACTACAGGCATGCGCTGCCATGTCTGACTAATTTTTTTTTTTTTTTTTTTTTAAGTAGAGATGAGGTTTTTGCCATATTGACCAGGCTGGTCTCAAACTCCTGGCCTCAAGTGATCCCACCTCGGCTTCCCAGAGTGCTGGGATTACAGATGTGGGCCACTGCGCCTGGCCAGCCAAGCCACTTAGAGTCCAATGGAGGACCTTCAGTATTTGTTGCAGTGTACAACCTAAAAATAAACCCATGCTGCTCTACCTAAGAGCTGAAACGGAATTCAGCTCAGGTCCCTTAACTGTTCTGAAGTCGCAGAAGCTCTGAAAACCGAAAAGATTTTCTTAAGGAGGAGCTGAAATTTTGTAATCTTTATCTATCCCACTTGGTATGAATGTTCATATGATTCACTATAGAAATATTAATAGATTTGATTGAAGGGTCTTATCCCAGACTCCGCTGGGTGTGTTACATAGAACATAATGAATATATGTACTCTATAATCTTTCTAAAGCCCAAAAACATCTGAATTCTGGAATACCCCAGACTCCAAAGTTACAGAAAAGGGGTCCAGATGCAGACCCCAAGGTTTTACTACAACCTTTTTTTAATCAGCAAGATCTTTATGATCCACATTTGGTGCTGACCGCCTGTCTCATCCTGTGACTTACGATGCCTTAACCCTCTGGAAATGCAGCCCGGTAGGTCTCAAGTCATTTTACCCAGCTCCTATTCAAGATGGAGTTGCTCTGGTTCACACGCCTCTGACGATATGACCTGTTGTAAAATGGTCTCTCTTCAGCCTCTAGTTCCTCACTGCACAGTCCCTGTTAATTCAATATATGGCTTTGTTCCTCAGGCTCCAGCTGAACTTTCTCTCGTCAATGCTTCTTTTTGCTAAATTTCATAGCTTCTTTTTTTTTCTTTCCCTTTGGCCTTAACTTCTTGATCTGGTGGCAAAGGTATGACTTCCCCCTTCCAGTGGGCTCTGTCCTTGGCGTCATTCCCTGATACCTCAGTAGCTGCACCTCCCTCTTGCCTCTTGGACCAAACCTCTGGTTTGTTTGTTTGCACCTTTCCTTAGGTCCACCCTCCCTGCTCCCTATGGAGGCTCTCGCATTGTAGGTACTACTAATAAATATTTGTAATGAAGGAATTCCCCAAGGCCCAGATTGCAGCTCTCCACCCCCGCAGAGAGCTCATCCATCCACACCAGCCACCGGCTGGGCAGAGGCTCCTAAATCTACATATTCAGGTCTGACCTGTCACTGGAGTTCCTTTGCCATTGTTACGGATGTTTACTGATCTCTTTAGCTAATTGTCTTGCTAGCACCTCATTTTCAACCTCTCTCTTCAAAAGTCTCTCTCTCACGCACAAATCACACACTTGATTATGAATGGGAAGAAGTTGGTAGGCTGGAGGAATGGCTGCAGGACAGAAGGAGGGAGACTTTTAGAAAAGTTGTATCTTGTGTTTGTTGTGTTTTCATGTGTATTGCTTAAAAAGAAAGTAACTTATTTTTTTCAAAAGGGAAAGTTACATGACATTCTGGAAAAGGAAAAACTATGGAGAGAATAAGAAGACTGTTGGTGACCAGGGCCTTGAGGGGAGGGAGGGATGAAAAAGGGGAGCACAGAAGACTTTTAGGGCAGTGAAATTATTCTGTAGGTTCCTATAAATGGGGGATGTGTATCATTATGCATTTGTCCAAACCCATAGAATGCACAACACGGACAGAACCCCCAAAGTAAGCTATAGACTTCGGGTGATCGTGATGTGTTAATGTAGTTCCATGGATTGTAACAAATGTCCCGCACTGCTGAGGGATGTCAGGACACTGATGGTGGGGAGGATGAGTGTGTGTTTGGGGAGGGGCCGTGTGGGAGCTCTGCACATTTTACCCCATTTCATGTGAACCTAAAACTGCTCTACAAAGGTCTATTAATTAAAAAAAAAAACCAAACAAAGAAAAGATAAGCATCAGGAGTGGTGGTACGCACCTGTAATCCCAGCGAGTTGGGAGGCTGAGGCAGGAGGATTACTTGAGGCCAGGAGTTTGACACCAGCCTGGGCAATATAGCAAGATCCCTTCTCTCTAAAAACAAAAACAAACAAACCCCAGAACCAAAAAACAAGGGCCTGGACTGAGCCTGAGTGTTTGGGATTTTGTGCTGGAGGCTCACTATGTTTAAACTAATTAGAGTCAGTGTAGACAAACCGATTATTCATAAAAGGAGGGAACAGTCAGTCCACTCACCCAGGCTGGATTCACTGGGGTCCCTGTTGACAGCTTAGGCCTCCAGGTCTAGAGAATTCCAGGCTGTTTTGTCCTTCCTTTGGAAGAGCATTTGTGTTTGACCTCTGCCATGATTTTGTGGGTTGAGCCTCTTTTAGCTCACCCCCGGAATACTCTAACAGTCTTCTGTATATTTGAACATTTCTGCCTGTTTCTCTACCATCCTATACAATATCGTCATGTTAAAATGCATTTCTTCATGTTACTTCTCGCCTTAAAAACCTGCAATGCAGGCTGGGTGAGGTGGCTCACTCCTATAATCCCAGCACTTTGGGAAGCCGAGGCAGATGGTCACCTGAGGTCAGGAGCTCCAGACCAGCCTGGCCAACATGGTGAAACCTCGTTTCTACTAAAGATACAAAAAATTAGCTAGGTGTGGTGGTAGACGCCTGTAAAATGAACCTCTGGGTTTTGGTCCATTTATGTCTATAAGAAGTAAATCTGATGCTTCCCTTAATAGCTTTTATAACACTTACAAAGCTCAAAAGAAGCAAGAATACCAATGAATACCAATAAAACCAATCAAATGAACCAGGTGGCAGCAAATGACGGCCTACGGGACACATTCGGCCTGCTGCTTGTTTCTGTACAGCCCACACACTAAGAATGGTTTTTACCTTTTTTTTTTGAGACAGAGTTTTGCTCTGTCATCCAGGCTGGAGTGCAATGGTGTGATCTTGGCTCACTGCGTCTCTGCCTCCCAGGTTCAAGTGATTCTCATGTCTCAGCCTCCCGAGTAGCTAGGATTACAGGCACCTGCCACCATGCCCAGCTATTTTTTTTTTTATTTTGAGGTTTCACCATGTTGGCCAGGCTGGTCTCAAACTCCTGACCTCCACTGATCTGCCCTCCTCAGCCTCCCAAACTGCTGAGATTACAGGCATGAACCACTGCATCCGGCCTATATTTTTAAGTTGTTGAAAAAAATAGGCCAGACATAGTGGCCTGTAATCCCAGTGCTTCAGGAGGCTGAGGCAGGAGGATTGACTGAGGCCAAAAGTTCGAGGTTACAGTGAGCTGTTCTGGCCACTGCACTCCACCCTGGGCAACAGAGGGAGCAGACGGAGACTCTGCCTCAAAAAAAAAAAAAAAAAAAAAAAGTTGAAAAAATAAAAAGATGACTATGTTTGTGAGATGTGAACATGATATGAAATTCAAATCTTGGCATCCATAAATAAAGTTTTATTGGAACACAGCCAGGCGGGTTTACTTACTGCCTATAGCTACTGTTGTCCTTCCACGCCTGAGTTGAGGCTATGCAACAGAGACCGTGTGATGTGCAGAGCCTAAATATTCACTATCCAACCCATACAGAGAAAACCTGCCCACCTCTGTGAGGCACAGTACACACAGAAGACATGCTTGCTGTAGCTGTGATCTTTTTCCATGGCACGGGGGCTTGGAGTTCTCTAATTGCTAAGATCCTGGAGGTTACAGGGCTCCAGGGAGGTGCCATGTATGTATAATACAAGGGGTATAGTGCCCCCTGGAGGCAGCATTGGATTTGAAGCCGCCAGAGTGGTGGACAGGCCTCGCAGGGAGTGAGGAGGCCTGATTCTCATCTTGGCCCTGCAGAGAACTCCCTGGCTGTGTGATTCAGGGGCAGATCTCACTGAACTTCTATGGGCCTCAAGTCCACATCTGTAAAAGGAGGGGGTTGCACTCTCAGTGGTTCTAAAACTCCTTCCCTTCCTCGCCGCCTTCTTCTTAGCAGAATCCTTTCCTGAAATCAGTGCTTGTGTAGATCCCTAATATAGTAAACAGCTGAAGGTGGAGAGTCTCTGCTGGAAGCAGGTCTTGGCCTGAGACTCCCTCAGTGACCTGTGATGACTGTACAGTAGAGATTTCCAGACTCCTCCCAGCCCTAATCACTGAGAATAGCCTCAGAGCAGTTTACTTTTTATTTTTATTTATTTTGAGATGGAGTTTCACTCTTGTCCAGGCTGAAGTGTAATGGTGATCTTAGCTCACTGCAACCTCCGCCTCCTGGGTTCAAGTGATTCTCTTGCCTCAGCCTTCCGAGTAGCTGGGATTACAGGCATGTGCCACCACGCCTGGCTATTTTTGTATTTTTAGTAGAGACGGGGTTTCTCCTTGTTGGTTAGGCTGGTCTTGAACTCCCGACCTCAGGTGATCCACCTGCCTTGGCCTCCCAAAGTGCTGGGATTACAGGCGTGAGCCACCATCCCTGGCCTTTTTTATTTTTTAGAGTCAGGGTTTTGCTCTGTCACCTAGGCTGGAGTGCAGCGGTGGCATCAGAGCCCACTGCAGCCTCGACCTCCTAGGCTCAAGTAATCCTCCCGCCCCAGGCTCTTGAGTAGCTGGGACTATAGGTGCACACCACACACCTAGCTCATGTTTTTATTTTTATTCTGTAGAGACGGTGTCTCGCTATGTTGCCCAGGCTGGTCTTGAACTCCGGGGCTCAAGCAATTCTCTTGCCTCAGCCTCCCGGCTCAAATCAGATCTTTGCATTCATGCTTTGAGGTCACATATTTGGGTCCAGTCAACCAGAATGTCCTGTGGTGCCGGCGTTTCCCAAGCATCCCTCACATGTTGTAATGGTAGCAGCTAAACTTTACTGAGCACTTACTGCTTTCCAGACACTGGGTAAACCCTCAAGGGGTCTTTTGTCATCGAATACAGACAACAGCTCAATGAAGCAGATGCTGTAATTATTCCCAGTTTACAAACAAGAAAATACCCGCAGACAGCTTGATGCCAATGCTCATCCCTTTGTAGGCTGTGTGGTTGACCCATCATTTCCTCTCAGATTGCTTTAGAATCAACAGGTATGATGATTTACTTATAACTCACTTGCTGTGTGACTTTGTACAAAGCTTTTCTGTTTTTCTTTTTTTTTTTTGAGACGGAGTTTCGCTCTTGTTACCCAGGTTGGAGTGCAATGGCGCGATGTCGGCTCACCGCAACCTCCGCCTCCTGGGTTCAGTCAATTCTCCTGCCTCAGCCTCCTGAGTAGCTGGGACTACAGGCAAGCACCACCATGTCCAGCTAATTTTTATATTTTTAGTAGAGACGGGGCTTCACCATGTTGACCAGGATGGTCTCGATCTCTTGACCTCGTGATCCACCCGCCTTGGTCTCCCAAAGTGCTGAGATTACAGGCGTGAGCCACCGTGCCCGGCCCTTTTCTTTATTTTTTGAGACAGAGTCTCGCTCTGTTGCCCAGGCTGTAGTGCACTGGCATGATCTTGGGTCACTGCAACCTCTGCCTCTCAGGTTCACGTGATTCTCATGTCTCAGCTTCCCAAGTAGCTGGGATTACCAGTGCCCGTTATCACTCCTGGCTTTTTTTTTTTTTTTTTTTTTGAGACTGGTCTCACTCTGTCACCTAGACTGGAGGGCAGTGGTGCAATTTTGGCTCACCACAACCTCCGCCTCCCAGGCTCAAGCGATTCTCCTACCTCACCCTCCTGAGTAGCTGGGATTACAGGTGCGGGCCACCAGGCACAGCTAATTTTTGCATTTTTAGTAGAGACGAGGTTTCACCATGTTGGCCAGACTGGTCTCGAACTCCTGACCTCAAATGATCCACCCAGCTTGACTTCCCAAAGTGCTGGGATTACAGCCACGTGCCACCGTGCCCAGCTTAATTTTTGTATTTTTAGTAGAGACAGGGTTTCCCCATGTTGGCCAGGCTGGTCTCGAACTCCTGACCTCAATGATCCACCAGCCGGCCACAGCCTCTCAACATGCTGGGATTGCAGGCATGAGTTACCGTGCCTGGCCCAAAACTTAACCTTTCTAAGCTTCAGTTTCCTCACTGGTCAAATGGAAATAGTGAGAGGATCAATAACATATATTGCTATGTGAGTGCATGGGACAGAACATATAATCATTGATGCTACTCAGTGCTCAGGAACCATTATTTTCTGCTATTGTCACCAATCGTCATTTGCTGCCTCTTGCATTCTTTCCCAGTCCCAGGTAATGATTCTTCTGACACAGGCTCTGGGCCTTTCCATGTTAACACAGCTTTCCAGCACTGTTTTTTAACACCTCAGCTATTGGCTTTATGAAAGTCTTTTCCCTTCCCCTCCCTTCCCCTCCCCTCCCCTCCCTTCTCCTCCCTTCTCCTCCCCTCCCCTCCCTTCTCCTCCCCTCCCTTCCCTTCCCCTCCCTCAGATAATGAGGTCAGAGTTTGAGACGAGCCTGCCCAACATAGTGAAACCCTGTCTCTACTAAAAATACAAAAAATTAGCCAGGCATGGTTGTGCTCACTTGTAATCTCAGCTATTCAGGAAGCTGAGGCAGGAGAATTGCTTGAACCTGGGAGGTGGAGGTCATAGTGAGTTCAGATCACACCACTGCACTTCAGCCTGGGGGAAAGAGTGAGACTCTGTCTTAAAAAAAAAAAAAAAAAAAGTCTGGTAAGTTGATGAGTCTGTTAGTTCAGTATCTCCAAAAGCAATCAAGACATATGGGTGCAAGTAGGTTTCACAGAGGTGATCTCAGGACATACTACGAGGAGTAGGGAAATGAAACAGAAGAGGAAACCAGCAAAGGGTGTTCAGTGAGTGGGCTACCACTGTACACCACTCGGGCTTAGTGACAGGAACTCTCTGAGAACTGTATTTTGGAATCATCCCACTTAAGTTCTGGAAGCTGGGGAATTTATCTAAATCCAGTGGTTGAGGGTTGCTCTGGTAATGTGACCTGCGGGGCCCAGCCTGAGACAGAATATGCTTAGGAAGAGAGATGCCGAAAGCCAGTGTATTCATTAAAAGCTTAAAATGACTTAAAAGAGTACACATTTATTATCTCATAGTTTCTGGGAGTCAGGACCTGGGTATGACTTAGTTGCAGAGATGCTCTGTTCCAGTGTCTCTCATGAGGCTGCAATAAAGCTGCTGAGCAGGGTGGGGTGGGCATCTCATCTGAAGGCTCAGCTGGGGAAGAATCCACTTTTAAATTTACTTACACTGTGGTGGGCAGAATTTATAGTTGGCCCTTGAGCAGCATGGGCTTGAACTTCGTAGGTCCACTTACACATGGATTTTCTTCCTCCTCTGCCTCCCTTGAGACAGCAAGACCAACCCCTTTCTCTTTCTTCTCCTCAGCCTACTCAATGTGAGGCTGGTGAGGATGAAAACCTTTATGATGATCTGCTTCCACTCAATGAATAGTCAATAGATCTTCTTTTAAAAATTTATTTTAAAATAATTGCTACTTTTTTTTTTTTTTGAGATGGAGTCTCACTCTGTTGCCTAGACTGGAATGCAGTGGCATGATCTCGGCTCACTGAGACCTCCACCTCCTGAGTTTAAGCGATTCTCCTGCCTCAGCCTCCCGAGTAGCTGGGATTACAGGCACCCGCCACCACACCTGGCTAATTTTTGTATTTTTAGTAGAGATGGGGTTTCACCATGTTGGCCAGGCTGGTCTTGAACTCCTGACCTCAAGTGATCCACCCACCAAGTAAGCCACTGTGCCTGGCCTAATATTAATAATTTAAATAAAAAAAAAAATAGCAAATGTATTTTCCTTACGATTTTTAAATAACATTTTTCTGTTCTCTAGCATACTTTATTGTAAGAATACAGTGTACAGGCTGGGCATGGTGGCTCATGCCTGTAATCCCAGCACTTTGGGAGGCCAAGGTAGGTGGAGCACTTGAGGTCAGGGGTTTGAGACCAGCCTGGCTAACATGGCGAAACCCTATCTTTATTAAGAACACAAAAATTAGCCAGTCACGGCAGTGCATGCCTGTAATCCCAGCTACTCGGGAGGCTGAGGCACAAGAATTGTTTGAACCTGGGAGGTGGAGGTTGCAGTGAGCTGAGATCATGCCATTGCACTCGAGCCTGGGCAACAGAGGAAAATTCTGTCTCAAAAAATAAGCAAGTAAATAAATAAATAAAAACTAAATAAAATACAGTGTATAATGCATAGAACATACAAAATATGTGTCAATTGACTATGTGATTGGTAAGACTTCTTGTCAACAGCAAGACATTAGTAGGTAGGCTTTTGGGAAGTCAAAAGTTATACATGGACTTTTCTGACTATGCTGGGGGCCATCACCCATAACACCTGCATTGTTTAAGGGTCAACTGTATTTCCTCCAAGGTTGTTGGACTGAGAACCTTGGCTCCTTCCTGGCTGTTGGCTGGATTTTGACCTCACTTTCTTGTCACTGGGCCGCCCCAAACCAGCAGCTTGCTTTCAAAGCAAGAGAGTCTTCTAACAAAATGGTGGTTAGAATGTTTCATAACCTACTCACGGAAGTAACATCCCCTCAACCTCGCCATATTCTATTGGTCAGACGCAAGTTACTCAAGGAGGTTACAAAGGCCATGAACATTGAAAGGTGGGTCTCCCTGGAGCCATCTTAGAGGCTGCTTGGCAGAGCTAGTGTGGGCAGAGGGAATGTGAGCAGGACTTACAGCATCTGCTGCAGAGGTAAGCAAATTCTGGTGAAGGAGAAGGGGTATTGGTAAGGAAAGGTCAAGGGTAAATTATCTGTGTATAGACATAAACTGAGAACCCTGGGAGCCTTTGGTCCCAGCAGTGAGAGCCACCCCTCAGCTGGGCAGAGCACTTAGCAGCTCCCTGGTTCCTGGGTCTGAGCCCCTGAGGGCAGGAGTACAGGTTGGGTCTTAAGGGATGTGCTGCTGTCTGCCAGGTGGTCTTTCTTGTGTTTCCCTGGAGAATCCTCACTGCTGGACCACAGAGCAACACTTGGCAGAGGCCATAGGGTGTGGACAGGGAGGGACTGTCCACTTCCTCAAGGTCAACAGAGCTGGAATATGAAACCCAGCCTCTCAAATTGGATCTCAGCCCAAAGGCTGGTCAGTTCTACCAGCCCTGTGATGCTTAGCCCCTCTGTCTGGCATCAGTGGGAGGGAGTCCCCTAGATTTGGAATACCCTCTGTCCCACTCCCTCCAGGCCCATTAGGAAATTTATTCGTAGACAGAAATGAAATCTATTTCCCTGAAGCTCGATTCCCTCTTTCCCTTGGAGACCAGTTGTCCAAGAGAGAAGTCTGCTGCTTGGGACCCTTCCTCCTGTTGAAGTTTGTTTGTTGCCCAGGCTGGAGAGCAGTGGTGCAATCTCCGCTCACTGCAACCTCCGCCTCCCGGGTTCAAGCAATTCCCTGTCTCAGCCTCCTGAGTAGCTGGGATTACAGGCTCGAGCCACCACACCTGCCTAATTATTTTGTATTTTTAGTCAGATGGGGTTTTGCCCTATTGGTCAGGCTGCTCTTGAACTCCTGATCTTGTGATCCTCTTGCTTCAGCCTCCCAAAGTGTTGGGATTATAGGCATAAGCCACTGCACCCAGCCCCTCCTGTTGAAGTTTTATAGGCTGGTGATCAAATGTATAAATAGTATCTTAGATGTGGTTGGTTTAGAGTGGACATGAGAGGGTTGAGTGGGAACTCTTACCTCCCTACAAAACGCCCATCTATTAACCTCTTCCGAGAGCCCACAGGCTCCTAACCCCTGTGGCTGTCCAATTTTGTCAGTCATTTGGAACCTCCAATCAAGTAGATGGCTCCAGTTGTCTCTGGGGAGCAGCCGCCAAGTCAAATCTCCTCTTTCCTATACCTGGATTTTTGTTTGTTTTGGTTGGGGTGGGGTGACAGGGTAAGGAGGAGCCTTGTCTATTCTGCACATCCAAGGAGACAGATGGCCAGAGTGACCCTGGCTTCAAGGGAGAATTTATCTTGCCATTTTATGGCACAATGACCAGAATGGACATAATATCAATAAAGCAAAAAATGCATACTGAACTATCCAGGAAGAAGGAAGATAAAGGACAGTAAGGGCAACTAACAATAATTCACAGTTGACACTACTCTTTCAGTCCAATGATCTCACTGTTTTTTAAAATAATGCTGCAAGAGAGCTAGTAATATACTCAATTTACAGATGCAGAAAGCAACTTGTAGATACTGCTCAGATGCCACACAGCTGTCAAATGGAGGGTCTGCAGCAAGAACTCCTGGTGTTTGGCTGTTTATTTATGAGACACGGTCTTGCTCTGCTGCCCAGACTGGAGTGCAGTGGTGTGATCATAGTGCACTGTAACCTTGAACTCCTGGCCTCAAGAGATCCTCTCACTTCAGCCTCCTGAGTAGCTGGGACTATAGGTGTGCACTACCATGCCTACCTAATTAAAACAAGGTTTTTATCTCTTTGCTTTTTTTTTTTTTTTATTTTTTGTAGAGACAGGATCTTGCTGTTTTCCTAGGCTGGTCTTAAACTTCTAGCCTCAAGCAATCCTCCTGTCCTGGCCTTCCAAAGTGCTGGGATTATAGCTGTGAGCTATAATCCTTGTATATTATACACAAGCTATGCCTTGTGTATTTATTTTTGACACATAAAAATTGTTTGTATCTAAGATATACAATGTGATGTTTTGCTATATGTATACACACTATGAAGTGATTACCATAATTACCATATCCATCACCTCGTATACTTTTTTTGTATGCGTGGTGGGAACATTTAAGATCTATTCCTGGCTGGGCATGGTGGCTCATGCCTGTAATCTCAGCACTTTGGGAGGCTGAAGCAGGTGGATCACTTGAGGTGAGGAGTTGCTTGGCTATCAAGGTGAAACCCTGTCTCTACTAAAAATACAAAACTTAGCTGGGCATGGTGGTGGGTGCCTGTAATCCAAGCTACTTGGGAGGCTGAGGCAGGAGAATCGCTTGAACCCGGGAGGTGGAGGTTGCAGTGAGCTGAGATCGCACTATTGCACTCCAGCCTGGGCGACAAAGTGAGATTCCATTTAAGAAAAAGATCTATTTTCTTTTTTTGAGATGGAGTTTCACTCTTGTTGCCCAGGCTGGAGTGCAATGGTGCGATCTCAGCTCACCGCAACCTCTGCCTCCCGGGTTCAAGCGATTCTCCTGCCTCAGCCTCCCGAGTACTGATGTACCGCCATGCCTGGCTAACTTGTTTTTGTATTTTTAGTAGAGATGGGGTTTCTCCATGTTGGTCAGGCTGATTTTGAACTCGAGACCTCAGGTGATCCACCTGCCTCGGTCTCCCAAAGTGCTGGGATTACAGTAACTAAAATTTTGTAAACTTTTACCAACATCTCCATTTCACTTATCCTACAGCTCCTGGCAACCACCTGTCTATTCTCTACTTCCATGAGTTCATCTTCTTGAGAGGTCGTTTAGGAGTCGAAGTTTTACAGATTGTTTAGAAGTTTATGTACAATCATGCGGTATTTGTCTGTGTGTAGCTGACTTCACTTAGCATAGTATCCTTTAGGTTCATTCTTGCTGTTTCAGATGGCAAGATTTCCTTATTTTATAAGGCTGAATAGTATTCCATTGTAAATATGACACATTTTCTTGATCTAGTTATTGGTCTAAGGACTTTTAGGTTGTTTCCGTATCTTGGTTATTGTGAATAATGCTGCAATGAGCACAAGAGACAGATACAAATTTCTTTGGATATATACCCAGAAGTGGGATTGCTGGATGATAATGGTAGCTCTGTTTTCAGTCTCTTGAGGAACTGACTATTCTCCATATGGCTGTACCAATTACAATCTCACCAACAGAGACAGAGAGGTCCCTGGGATTTTGTCCCCAAATTCTGTACACTTTCAATTGCACATTCTGTGCTTTTTAATGTATATAACCAAATGTGTGAATGTTTCAGTCCTGGACAAGTCCTTATTGAGAACCCACTAAGACAGTAGGAAGTATAAGGTATAAAAAAGAGTTGAACGACTTGTCTTCAAGGAGTCCGTGACCTATTGGAGTGAGAAAAGATCTATATACCAAACAATTTCAAAATTATGGGTTGGGCGTGGTGCCTCATGCTTATAATCCCAACACTTTGGGAGGCCAAGGTGTCAGATAACTTGAGGTCAGGAGTTCAAGACCAGCCTGGCCAACATGATGAAACCCTATCTCTACTAAAAATACAAAAAATTAGCCGGGCCTGGTGGCGCGTGCCTATAATCCCAGCTACCCAGGAGGCTGAGACAGGAGAATCACTTGAACCTTGGAGATGGAGGTTGCAATGAGCCAAGATCACGTCACCGCATTCCAGCCTGGGTGACAGAGAGAGACTGTCTCAAAAGAAAAAAAAATAATGGAAAATAGTCTCAGACTCAATCAGATTATAAGATTTTTATAGTCTAGAAGGGCTATCCCAATTTGGAGATGTGCAGCTTAACTGAAGATCCTTAACAGAGGAAGCTTCTGTGGCTTACAATAATTTGTGAGCAATTTTGCACAATTAAGAAATTAATGTTTCTCACAGAGGGATGACAAAAACTTGTATGGGAGTTGCAGTATCATTTATGTCCACCAGATGATGCCACCATTCAGTGGAATTCCAGAGTTTTGCTTTGGGGATACAAGCACAGTTGTGGTTAAATTCAAGATGATGTCTAGAAAGATATTTTAACCTGTTTCAGACATAATTTTCTTACTGTAATTTTACATGGAGTTCATGCACACAAGCAATAGATAATTCGGAAACAAACAGAGAACTACTCAAATTTCTCTTAGGTAAATTTCATACGTTGACTCATTTTCTTAGCTAGGTCTTAACCACCTTTTCCTATTTGCTCTAAGTCAAGTGACAGTGAGATTAATAGAAGGTGGCAGAGAGCTGTGCCTGGAGACCCAGTATGGTAGGGAAGACCACCACCTTGGAGGTAAGCTTGTTCCTCTATTAGGCATTTACTCTCACTGTATATGCAAATATATTCCCTACAGCAAATCTCGATAAACAACAGATTCAGCCCAGTGGAAAAGCCAGTATGGACAGCCTGATGCAATTCTATTCAGCATTAATGAGCTGTGGGCTTCATCCTAATGTGTTGATATTTAGTCATCTTTGATAATGAAAGAGGGTGTAGTCTTTGAAGTCAAAGTGTTCTGCTGCTGCTGCATTGTTCTAACCATGAACGTTCATTATTTTGTTTGACAAATTGGCCTGCTTTGGAATATTAAATACTCAGTCTTTAGAGTGTGAAGATAAAAGGAATTCTGTTTGTTGTGCTCATCGAGACTATTTCCCAAGAAGCCCAAAGCTCCCATAAGGTTTTATCTGGGAGATCCCGTCTCTGCGAATCTGGCTTCCTCTCTCTGGAGGTGGCTGGGACAGGGAAGTTCATTTGTGTTCTCATTTAGTGGGAGGAGGGCCCAATTGCTTTGGCCCAGCCTACCTCGGCCAGCCCTTGGAATTTAGCGTCATGCTGTGGTTGTACACAACCAACTCTACTCAGAGGACTCAGAAGGTCCTTGGGTACCAGGGGGCCAAGACACTCAGGAATGCCCTCATGGAAAGCCAGACTCGGAGAAGATGGGACAAGAGTCTTCTATTTCTCTGTTGAGCCCAGCAGGAACTGGGGATCCCCACAGTGCTTCTTTGGCATTCTTGTGAGACATTCTGCCCTGGCGGTGGGCAAAACACCAGGTTCAAGCAATTCTCCTGCCTCAGCCTCCTGAATAGCTGGGGTTACAGGTGCCTGTCACCACACCTGGCTAATTTTTGTATTTTTAGTAGAGATGGGGTTTCACCATGTTGTCTTGAACTCCTGACCTCGGGTGATCAGCACTTCCAAAGTGCTGGGATTACAGCAGTGAGCCACTGTGCCCAGTTTAACTGCTTTAGCTTGTCTCTGCACACAGGCCAAGCTAACTATGGGAGGAATTTAGCTTCGAGTTTAATTTTAAAGCAAGGATGATCATAGTCCCTTCCCTAAACTAACCCCCAGGGACATAGGACAGCACACACAAGTAACCATGCTATGTTAAAATTTACAGGAGCACTGTGACCTGGCCAAGGACAAGGGAGTTTCACAACCTCCCCCTTGGACTCTCGCTGCCACCCAGATGCCTGTGATTGTCAGTCACCTCTTGATCTCAACCCCCACCTTCCCCTTTCCCCTAACATAAAAGGCGCCTCAAATTCTATTCGCTTCAGATGGTTCTTTAGGACAGTAGTCCACCGTCTTCTCGATCTGCTGGCTTTCCTAAAAAAAGTTGTTTTCCTTGCCCCAACTCCTTGTCTCTTGACTTATTGGCTATGATGCGTGAGCAAAACAAGCTTTGGATTTGGTTACAATACCTCAAAGAGTAAGAATAAGGATTAAATGGGCACATCTACGTGTAAGAGTACTTAGGACAATGCCCAAAACATGGTATGTGTTCAATTGCTGTTACCATTGTGATTATTTCTATTACTGTTGCCAAGTAATAGAAATAATAGCACCAAGTATGGAACTAAAGTTGTACATCCAAAAAAGACCCAAGTAGATCCTGCATCTGTACCTTCTTGAAAAACCAACTGTAGGGGCTGTAGGCGCTGTTTTTAGATAGGCTTTCTGCCCTCTGATACTGAAAGAGGACCCTGCTTTGATGTAGTTATTGCATTTGTACAATCTCCTGACTGGGCAATTGCCTACAAACGTGCTATTTAGAATGTCTACACTGTGAATTTAAAGAGCGGTTTGTAATCATGGGCACACTGGAAAACCACTACACCCACCAGCCAATTATCATGGAGTCACAGGCTAAGGAGTGATGGCGGGAGTGAAGTCCAGCCTTCCAGCCCCAGCCCAGCCTTGGCACAGGACCCGAGCTAGGCTCAACCAATGTGCTCAGACACAAGCCTGGCCTTTTCTTGCAAATGAGGCTTTTCTGGGGAAATCTCTTTTAAAAAATGTGACCTTGATTTTGATCACTTCCTGAGAGAAAATTCAGCCCTATATAACTGCCCACAGCTTTGAATTCGTCAAAGCCCCAGTTTAATTTCCAATCCCAGATAAATTTTGCTTTCCTTCACTTCTCCCTGGGTTTCTAGCTCTGGCATCAGGGTCCTTGCAAGACTGATGCTATTCAGAGACCCCTACAGGGAACAGGCCTGGGGCCAGATTCACGCAGCCTGGGTCCCCCCGAGCTGAGTGCGCCAGAGAGCACCTTCCCTTCTAAATCCTGCGACCTGGGGCAAACTTCTTGTGTCGACATGTGTGCGGAGGCACTTGTTCAATCAGTTTAACCTCTTCCCCAGCAAAGCATTTCGTGATGGCACATTCAGAGACACAGCGATCCTCCTCCGACATTTCCCCCCGGCCAACGTCCTTCATTCTTGGGGTTCAATGGAGTCGTTTCCATAGTGACAGCCACTTGTTGCATTTTAAATCTCCTATCGAGGCCCTCGCAATTTGCCAGCTAAGCCAGGGATCACCAGGCATGTGTGCCAGGAGAATAAGACAAAGTCTGTTTTATTTTACCCTTCCTTTTTTTGTCTGCTTTCAGTTGGGGGCAGCCTTACAAAAGAGAGGGGTCTTTTGGCTTTCAAAATCCTGAGGCCTCTGCTCATTATCCCGGGCGTATCTTAGGTGGAACAGTGGGCACTCCATTTCCGCGCTGTCTCCAGGCGGCTGCTGGTCTGGGTGAACCATGGCAACAGCTGAAAGTGTGCACGTCTGATCAGGACACGCAGGGCTGTTTTTGTGCATGTGTGTGTTGCAGCGGACACTCCTGTTTATTTTAAAGGTAGGGTGATTAGGATGAAATCAATTCTATCACGAGCCTCGATGTCCTTTACTGAAGTTTGGAATCAAGATCATTTTGCCTTTTGTTCCTTTTTAGGGCATCTTCTGGGACACTCTTTTCTTTTTTTTTTGAGACAGGATCTCACTCTGTTACGTGGGATAACGTGCAATGGTGTGATCATGGTTCACTGCAGGCTTAGCCTCTAGGGCCTAAGCAATCCTTCTGCCCCAGCCTCCTGTGTAGGAGGAACCACCACACCTGGCTACTTTTCATATTGTTAGTAGAGACAGGGCCTCACTTTGTAACCCAGCCTAGTCTTGAACTACTGGGCTCAAGCAATTATCCTGCCTCATCCTCCCAAAGAATGAGCTGCTTCGCCCAGCCTGCCTTTTTATTTTGAAGGTACCAATGATTAGGATGAAAAAATTCCATCATGAGTCTCAACATCCATTATTTGAAGGTTGGAATCAAGATAATTTAGCTTTCTTTTTTTTTCTTCGGAGATGGACTCTTACTCTGTCCTAGAGTGCAGTGGCGCGATCTCCGCTCACTGCAATCTCCGCCTCCCAGGTTCAAGCGATTCTTGTGCCTCAGCCTCCTGAGTAACTGGGATTACAGGTACCTGTTACCATGCCCAGCTAATTTTTGTATTTTTAGTAGAGATGGGGTTTTGCCATGTTGGACAGGCAGGTCTCAAACTCCTGACCTCAGGTCATTTTTCCACCTTTACCTCCTAAAGTGCTGGGAATACAAGTGTGAGCCACCATGCCTGGGATAATTTTGCTTTCTTTATAGAGAATCTTCTGGGACACTTAATGTCAGTGACAATTAGTAGAGCAGCTTGGAGCCTTGTGGCTCCCACTGCCTTGATGTTTCATGTGTATTCAGGCAGGAGTTACCCACCATTTCCCCAGTGTGTGTTTAGTCTAATAGGTGTAAGCCAAAGCCTGCAAGAAGCATTAGTGATTCAAGCAGACAACTCTCTTCACAAGTAGAACAACTAGAGAAAGAAATTCAATAAGAGGATCAGCACATCAAAGCATGCCTTGCCATCCCTCCACAATCCCTTCTTACTGACGGAAATGGAAATGCTTTCTGTTTGTGAGTCTACACTAGAGCTCCCGTGCACCGCCATGAGAGCGGTGTGACTCCCTAATGTTTTGTAAGTTTTACTGCAAGGTTTTGTTGTTCGTTGCTGTTGAGCTTTTGGAAGAATCTCTAAAGAAAATTCTTCTGCTCTGAATGGATTTGCTGTTATGTGTGTGGCTAGAACTTCTGCAAAGGCACAATGAGGGGCAACATTTTTTTCTCTTTTAGGAGATGCCAGGTCCGGAGTAGGACCTGACCGGGGTGCAGAAGAGAAGGGCTCGACCTTCAGAAGAATGCCTGAAAGCTCTGCCTGTCTAGTTTCATCACGGGTTTTAACAGAACACTTGGAAAGGGAAAACAGAGGAACATAATGATTCAGAGCCTGGGGCTTCTTGGCTGCCAATATACCAAATACTTGAACAAATGAACACACAATCAAGGGCAGTTTATAACACAGCATCCCAGAGCAGATCTATTTTAAAGGCAAGGCAAAAAGAAAAAGAGGAAAATTATCTAAATTAAAAGTCAATGTTTCTAATTGCAAACAAGAAAATGATGAACGTAATGATAGAATAAAGAAGCCCATTAGACTGCGTCTGGAATCCACAGTCCCTGTTAGCAAATCTGGCACACCACAGGCCCTGGGCTCTCTCCAGAGCCTTCTGGCCTTTGGAAAAGTGGCTCTTAAGCAGATAGGGTTGGATGACCAGCTCCTGTCTGGAGTTGTTTTCAAAGGGCCAGAGGCTGCAGAAGTCTGGACTGGATTCCCAGATGAGTTGTTTAATTTTAGGCCTTCCCGCAGACTCAGTCATTAAGGAATGCTTCTATTTCAGCATAACCCAATGCAAACCAGTTCAAGCAATCTGGAAACGTATTGATTTGCCTAACGGGAAAGCCCAGATACAAGGCAAGGCTGGGCTGGTTGGATCCACCGGTTCAGCGATATGGCCAAGGGTTGGATTTCTTTTTCTCTTCCTGCTCTGCCTCCATCGGTATCAGGTTTACTCCAAGGCTGGCTTCTCTCTTGGTTGCAAGGTGGTTGCCAACTGCCTTCAGGGTGACATGCTTCCTTGGCCACTCAAACATCAAGCCAAAGTCTTGCACCTTCCTGTTCCACCTTAAATCTCCCACGTGTCCCTTAGGGATACGCTTGCAATATTGTGGCCAAGGAAAGATGGAGAGGTGCTGACTGGTTTAGGTCTGGATTACTGCCCATCCCTGAAGCCATCACACATGGGGTACAATTCTGCTGACTGTTTTTGGCCATCAGGGCCTCCCCTGCAGCTGAGGGTAGGGGCCAGTCACACTCCAATGTGACATTGACAAGGTTTTCTTGTATTGTCATTTCCTCCTTCACACTCAGTCTCCCTACTTTTTCACTCCTGTTTCCTGGAATCATCTTCCAAATAAAATACAGCACAAGATCTTATCTCAGGCTGTGTTGTTTGGGAGAACCCAAACCAAGAAAGCATGCAATCTAGACTTAAAGATATTGAAAAGCAATGTATCTATGTAGCGTGTGCTCGCGCGCGCGCGTGTGTGTGTGTGTGTGTATTTTGGTGCTTTCTTACTTCAATCAGATTGTCACCTCTTGTGAAAATAGACCAGGACTTAAACTTTAAACTTTTTGTTTTTTATTTTTCCCAAGTTCAGGTCAGGTAGGTAATGTACCAGTGTCGTAACAAGGTTCAAGGGTGGCACACCTTACACAAGCGTGTGAACACCCAATCATCATGCTTATGAACTACAAAAGAATCGGACTTAAACTTTTTTAGTATTTTTCAATTTCTATAGCAATAGAGGAGAGGACCAGTGCTTATTAGCTATTATGTGCCAGGCATTTTACATACAATTAAAAACATTATCCTCAGGAGATCGCTGTCAGATTCTTATCATTATCTTCACTGTGCTTGAAGTGGCTTGGCTAAGCTCAGAGGTGTTGAGCTCACCAGATTCCCAGAGGATACACAGCGAGAAAGTTCCCCTAGTTTGCTAACGACACAGGCTTGTAAATGGCAGCGTGAGGATATTTATGTAGGTATTTCTGAATCTCAGGCTCATAGAAATACTAAAAACAACGCTTGATGGTAAACAGTGGCCACTTTGACACTTATTCCTTTGCTTGTTAGTGTTTATTCCAGGAACCAAGTCATATAATTTTTAATTTAAAACCCTTGATGAATAATGCTGAGAAAGTAGCAGAGGTAGGCTTGTAAATGTTTAGCAATTGGTACGCTGAAAAAAAAGCCCTATTTTCAATGATGGCTAATTTTCATAGTGCTGATGTTCTCACCATGGCCAATTGCAAGCTACCAGCACGACACTGGGGAGAGACAGTCGTAGCCCACTGTTATATGGTATTTGTGCCTACAGACCCAACAGATGTACAAAACCTCAGCAGCATAGATAGCAGTCAAAAGTAGAAAAAATAAGAAAACGTTTGAGTACGTATTACTATTATTATTATTATTATTATTATTATTATTTGAGACGGAGTCTTGCCCTGTCACCCAGGCTGGAGTGCAGTGGTGTGATCTTGGCTCATTGCAACCTCTGCCTCTCAAGTTCCAGTGATTCTCCTGCCTCAGCCTCCTGAGTAGCTGGGACTACAGGTGCGTGCCACCATGCCTGGCTAATTTTTGTATTTTCAATAGGGATGAGATTCACCATATTGGCCAGGCTGGTCTCAAACTCCTGACTTCATGATCTGCCCACCTTGGCCTCCCAAAGTGCTGGGATTACAGGCATGAGCCATCATGCCCAGCCATTGTTATTATTTAGACAGGGTCTTGCTCTGTTGCCTAGGTAGGAGTGCAGTGGTATGATCAGAGCTCACTGCAGCCTAGAACTCCTGGGCTCAAGGAGTTCCTGGATCCTTATGTCTCAGTTTCTTGAGTAGCTAAGACTACAGGTGCAAGCCACTGTGCCCAGATAATTTTCAAATAATTTTGAGAGACAGGGTCTTGCTATGTGGCCTAGGTTGGTCTCAGACTCCTGGCCTGAAACTGTCCTCCCATCCTAGTCTCCCAAAATGCTAGGATTACAGGCCTGAGCCACCTCATTCAGCCTATTATCTTTGCTTTTGATATAATTTAATTTTAAGTTTACATATTTAGTTTTTAATAATGGTTATGTTTAGCAACTGGTTTGCAGCATCCCAGGAAATTTAACATTCAGCAGTTGTGGGACAGTATAAACTGGCTTCAGCATACCTCAGGCTATAGCTTGAAAGGGAAATAAAAAGAGGCTGGGTGTGCTGACTCATGCTTGTAATCCCAGCATTTTGGGAGGCCAAGGCAGGTGGACTACTTGAGGTCAGGAGTTAGAGACCAGCCTGGCCAACATGGTGAAACCCCATCCCTACTAAACATACAAAGATTAGCCAGGTGAACGCCTGTAATCTCAGCTACTCAGGAGGCTGAGGTAGGAGAATCACTTGAATCCAGGATGCGGAGGTTGCAGTGAGCTGAGATTGCGCCACTGCACTGCAGCCTGAGTGAGACAGAAAGACTCAATCCCCAAAACAGAGACTAAAAATAAATTTTAGTAATGAATTTATCATCAAAATTTGTCTCTGAAGGCTGGAGATGAATCCTTCTCAGTGGCTGGATTATTCCCTGATCCTGAAGATGTATTGTCTTTAAGGGGAATGCTCTTTGATGCAGCACTGCAGTGAAATTTCTTATGACGATGTCGTCCAGTGAAGTAGCCACTAGCCATGCTGAACACCTGAAATGTGACCGATATAACGAAAGAACCAAATTAAAAATTTTATTTATTGTTAATAAATTTAAATTTAAATCTAAGTAGTTGCACGTGGTTAGTGGCTACTATATTGAATAGCACAGTTTATGCTTTGTCAAATGATTTTTAGTAGGTCTTTATTATCAGATCACATGTCAGCTTCTCAGCTTGCAATGCCTGAGTCAGCCTTTCTTAGCCTGTCTCCTCGTACTGACTCCTCCTCTCAACCTTGGTTCCTCCATGGCTCTTTTTTCCATCACTAATATATATACTCAGCTGCTTCTCATATCTGGCCTCAGGACATGATGTTCTTGCTCTAATTCCGTATGTGCCACTTATGGGTTACACACGTACCTGTGAGCCATCGCCCTCTTAAACTCTCAGGGTAGCCTGGAAGGGCCTGGTATGGATGGAGCTCCTCGGCGAGCCATCTTCAGACTCAAGCAGCTTTGTTTGAGGCCCTTCAAAGGGAGGCTTGGGGGAGTGGAGTCTGATAGACAGTCCTATAGGCTCCAAGGCAGAGAACTCCAGCTATATCAGCATTCCATTGGCACACTGTGGGGCTAATGAGGTACTCTGCCATGTGAACTTGGACCTCAGCAACCGGACACAGAGTGGGTCATTGCCTGGTGTAGACCAGCGGCCCTGGTGTATCTAGTTCATGTTTTAGATCTCTAGGAAGTAAGACACAAGCCCCAGGGACAAGCAGTCATGGGTGGGACATGGGAAGTCCAGACAGGGGCTCCTAAGGCGGCTCCTGGGTGGTCCCAAATCTTCCTCTTTATCTATTTCAGATACTTCTATTTGTGCCTGGCCAGGTCCTTGTAGTGCTGCTTCAACTGGGGGCTGGTTAATTGCCCCAGCAATACATGCATGTTTTGCAAATTAAAAATTACATTATTATTAGTTGGGCATGGTGCACACCTGTCATGCCAGCAACCTGGGAGGCTGAGGCCTAAGAATCACTTGTATCTGGGGGGCGGAGGTTGCAGTAAGCCAAAATTGTGCCATTGTACTCCAGCCTGGATGACACAGTGACAGTGTCTCAAAGAAAAAACAAAAAACAATTTCATTATTAAGCCAGGTATGGTGGCTCATGCCTGTAAACCCCAGAAATTTGTGAGGCCGAGATGGGAGGCCAAGAGTTCGAGACCAGACTGTGCAGCATAAAAAGACCCTGTCTCTACAAAAACAAAACCAAAACTTAGCTGGGCATGGTGGTATGTGCCTGTAGCCCCAGCTGTTTGGAAGTCTGAGGTGAGAAGATCACTTGAGCCCAGTAGTTCAAGGCTGCAGTGAGCTATGATCAGGCCATTGCATTCCAGCCTGGGAAACAGAGCAAGACTCTGTCTCTAAAAATATTTTTTATTATTTTGAAATTCTATATATGAAAATGTCTGAATTATAAATCCATCTATAAGACATTTAAATGTTACAATTATCAATAAAGAATATGAATAATTAAGTCCTTAAATATTTCAACTGTTGTACATTTTGGATAGATGTAAAAATCACTTTATATTCTTTAGCATGTATTTGTGCAATGTTTCTTCATTTAAAACTCTCTAAAGTTTCTCCTTTAAAAGTGATCTCATTGATAACGATTTCCAATAATTTGAAGAGATCATCCTTAAAAAGTTGGCATTTTGGCTGGGCGTGAATGGGTCACGCCTGTAATCCCAGCTCTTTTGGAGGCCCAAGCAGGCAGATCACCTGAGATCAGGAGTTCGAGACCAGCCTGGCCAACATTGCTAAACCCCATCTCTACTAAAAATCTAAAAATCAATCAGGCATGGTGGCAGTTTCCTGTTATCCCAGCTACTCAGGAAGCTGTGGCAGGCAAATTGCTTGTACCTGGAAGGTAGAGGTTGCAGTGAGCAGAGATTGAGCCACTGCACTCCAGCCAAGGCAACAGAGTGAGACTCCATCTTTTTCTTTTTTAACTTTATTTATTTATTTATTTTTATAAAGACAGGGTTTCACCATGTTGCTCAGGTTGGTCTTGAACTCCCGACCTCAGGTGATCTACCCGCCTTGGCCTCCAAAGTGGATTACAGACATGAGCCACTACGCCCAGCCGAGACTCCATCTTAAAAAAAAAAAAAAGTTGGTACTTTGGACACCGTTAGCATAATTTGACATAAAAGTTTATATTCTTGTGAGTAAGCTCTATTTTTCCATTTAAAAAATTCAAAATGATTTTATTTGGAAATTTATGTGAATTCATATTCAATATATTCCTTAATAATTGCCATTTTCGTTATCGTAGTTATTAAAAAGTAATGACTTCTTCCCACTAAGTACTCTTTAAGTGGCCCCTACCCTCAATGTCATCTGGTTTATCCCAGCATGCCAAGACCGTATTGTTTTTCTGTGTGCCATGGCTTGCAAAAGTTTGGTCAGCAGTGTCCAGATTGTCTTTCTCTCTTGTGCTCTGTACCTATAAATCTGTTTCTATGTGTGACTCAGGCCCCTGCTTCTTCTCAACACTCCACAATCAGTAGTCTCTGGCTTCTGCCTTATTATTTTTTTAAGACAAAGTTCCATTCTTGTCGCCCAGGCTGGAATGCAATGGCTCCATCTCAGCTCACTGCAACCTCTGCCTCCTGGGTTCAAGCGATTCTCTCACCTCAGCCTCCTGAGTAGCTGGCATTTCAGGAGCCCGCCACCATGCCCAGCTAATTTTGGTATTTTTAGTAGAGACAGGGTTTTGTCATGTTGGCTAGGCTGGTCTTGAACTCCTGACCTCGTGATCCACCCACCTAGGCCTCCCGAAGTGCTGAGATTACAGGTGTGAGCTGCTGCACCCGGCCTCTGCCTTATTTTTACAGGCAAGACATTCTACTTACATTTGCTTCGATGTGGCCCCTTTTCTGTATATTTATATGTATTTTTTTCCAGTAAGGGTGTGCATTTTAAACATGTGGTATCTATGGGCTTGCTTCTTTTGGATAATTCAATTCCTTAAAAACTCTCAACATGAATTACAAGATCCAAAACTAATTCACCCAA